TATGAGGACACAAATGTGTATAATGACATGGGTACTACAACGTAAACATGGTTTATGAGGACACTTCCTGTGTCCCCGTAAAACAAAAGGCTTAAAAAACATACAAAATAGTGTTTTATGAGATTCAAAAATTGCCAGCAGTTTCCTGTGAGGGGTAGGTTTAGGGGTAGGGTTGATGTAGGGCAATAGAATATACGGTCTGTACAGTAGAAAAACCATTACGCCTATGGAGAGTCCCCGTAAACAACAAATGCAAGTATGTGTGTGAGTGTGTGTTGTACAGCTGTTACTCTCTGAAAACTGATCCCAGCACAGCTGGTTCTTTTTAATAGCACTAACTATCCGGAGGAGCCGGCGTGCCGCTCGCTCTCTTCACTAGAGTCACTCTCTTGAGATCACATTTCCGGTTTGGGTGTTTTATTTCCTGGCCGTTGAGGTTTCGTAGGTAAATTGTGAATATTCTTACTTTGGTCATTGAAACCGGATCCTGAAGAGCACATGAGCTCATGTGACGGAGCCGTCGGCCAATCAGAGTGTCCGTTAAGGCCGGGCTCTGATCTCGGAATAGCTGCTGGCCTTTACTTGGAATACCGCAGTGAAAGCGATCTCCCGAATACATCACGACACGAGGAGATCACGTTTTATTCCATTCATAGTGCACTGAACTGGAAATTCCAGCACAAGTGTTTAAAAGAAGTCATATATGATGCGATTTCAATTGTTCCTTTCTCTTTGGAGTGTTACAAGCTCTTGGTGCATAAAGAAGATCTGTAAAGTTGCAAAGACTAAAGTCTCAAATCCAAAGAGATATTCTTTATAAAAGTTAAGAGTCAACCACGCCTACCTAAAACGCCTCGTTCTAACACGCCCCCACATGTCTACGTCACTATGTGGAAATATTAGCATAATGCCGCCCAAATGTTCACGCAAAGAAAGAAGGCGTAACTTTTATTCTCACTGTAGTATTGTTGTTGTGGAGACGCTGTGTGTTTCTAAATATGGTGAGGGGTGTAACATTTCCGTCACACGCTTGAGGTATTCGGCCAATCACAACGCACTGGATAGCTGGCCAATCACAGCACACCTCGCTTTTTCAGACCTATGAGCTTTGTAAAAATCGACGCGTTTCAGAAAGGCGGGGCATAGAGGAGCAACAATAATATATGTTATATGGGAAATAATGTGTTTTTTGAACCTTAAACTGCGTAAACACATTGCATTACACCAAATTCACAAAATAATGTTATGTTCAACATCGTCATATGACCCCTTTAAACTGAACTGACTGTGTGCAGGAATCACATCATCTGTAATCTGTCATTAATCGGTGTGATTCTCAGTAACACACAGACGTCCGCTGCAGTGTTGATTGAGGTTGTGTTTTAGAGAGCGAGTGATAAGCAGCACGCCGTGCGTTTGGCCGTCGGGAACGGGCTCCGCTCAGACGTCTGGAGGAAATTCCTCAAGCGCCTCCACGAAAGTGGAAAGATCGGCGCTGTCGGACGGGTCAGCTTTCGGCACAAAGTAAGACGTATGACTGGAGTCACATGACTCTCGCTGTGCTTCCGCCGAAAGCTCTGATCCTCAGTGTGTTTTTCTCTCGTCACACAGAAACTGTTCCCCTACGCCATCATTCAGTACGACACGGAGCGGGACGAGCCACTCAGAGACTCCAGAGGCCTGTGTGTCGAGGTGCCTAAAGGTCAGAGGTCACACACATAAACATGAAACACGCTCGACCCCCTCTAGAGTCCCATATAAAGAACAGCACTTCATCTTACAAACCAACGACTGATTTTATTCGTCCTGACAGACTCTGATGATCCAAACTACTGTGTGTTTCAACACCTTAAAGTCTCTCTGGCTGAACCTCTGTGTGTGTGTGAGCGTGAGTGTGTGTGTGTGTGTGAGCATGAGTGTGTGTGAGCGTGAGTGTGTGTGTGGGAGCGTGAGTGTGTGTGTGTAAGCGTGAGTGTGTGTGTGTGTGAGCATGAGTGTGTGTGAGCGTGAGTGTGTGTGTGGGAGCGTGAGTGTGTGTGTGTAAGCGTGAGTGTGTGTGTGTGTGAGCATGAGTGTGTGTGAGCGTGAGTGTGTGTGTGGGAGCGTGAGTGTGTGTGTGTAAGCGTGAGTGTGTGTGTGTGAGCA